GGGGGGTATATTAAAGGGAGGGTATATTAAAGGGGGGTAGCTGTCGGTCGGAGCGCGCTCACTCACAATTCCTTGATGAGCACCATGGTCCCGGGGCTGGAGGGGGCGGGGCACAGTCTCGTCTCCACGGCAACCGGCGCGCTGACGTCACCGCACGCCGGCTCGCGTCAGCATGAATATGTATCAGCCTCTTAAAGCGACACCCACCTCACTCCATCAATCAAACAACCCTCTCCCCCCACAACCCCTAACCCACCCCCAGGCAACTTTAGTAAATATCAGGCTCACATTCCTGACTGAAACACCACCTTCATTTACAGCCATTAATGCTGACGTTTACACCCTCTATTTAATTCAAGTTGTACAATCATTATTCCTTCCCACTTCATAGAGCTGGTTGCAGACCCTTCATGCTGCATCTGCGCCTACCCCATGGAGGAAATCTCTAAAACCGGTACAACAAACATAAAGAGCCAATACAGGCTCAATGGTACAACTTTGAGAGGAGTACAGGAGCATAAGGACCTCTAGGTTCAAGTGTATGAATCTCTGAATGTGGCCAGGCAAACTGAAGCAGTTGTTAAGTTTGATTGGATCCTTGGGTTTAGAAATAGGGGCATCCAGTAAAAAACCCAAGGACGAGATGCTCCACCTCTACAACTCATTGGTCAGACCACATTTGGAGTTTGGTATCATATCCCCATGCACGAATCAATCCTAAACTCATCTGCCTTACTCATAAGTAATGCCTTGCATTAAAATAGATGCTATCTATTTCCATACATTCCATATAAGTGACTTTCCCATCAGAAGGTCAGAAGTGGGGATGTTCGCCAATGATTGCACAATGTTTAGCACTATTTGCAACTCCTCAGATACTGAAGCAGTCCATGTTCAAATACAACAAGATCTGGACAATATCTAGACTTGCTCTGACAAGTAGCAAGTGACATTCGTGCCACACAAATGCCAGGCTATGACCATCACCAATAAGTGAGAATCTAACCACTGCCCCTTGACATTCAATGGTGTTACCATCACTGAATCCCCCAACATCAACATCCTGGGGGTTACCATTGACCACAAACTCAACTGGACTCACCACATTAACACAGTGGCTACAAGAGCAGGCCAGAAGCTGGGAATACTGCAGTGAGTAACTCACCTCCTGACTCCCCAAAGCCTGTCCACCATCTACAAGGCACAAGTCAGGAGTGTGATGGAATACTCCCCACTTGCCTGGATGGGTCCAGCCCCAATAACACTCAAGAAGCTTAACACCATCCAGGACAAAGCAGCCCCCGCTTGATTGGCACCACATCCACAAGCATTCACTCCCTCCACCACCGACGCTCAGTAGCAGCAGTGTGTACTATCTACAAGATGCTCTGAAGAAATTCACCAAAGATCCTCAGGCAGCACCTTCCAAACCCATGACCACTTCCATCTAGAAGGACAATGGTAGCACATGGGAACATGACCTTCTGCAAGGTCCCCTCCAAGCCACTCACCATCCAGACCTGGAAATATATCACCATTCTTTCACCGTCGCTGGGTCAAAATCCTGGAATTCCCTCCCTAAGGGCATTGTGGGTCAGCCCACAGCACATGGACTGCAGTGGTTCAAGAGGGCAGCTCACCATCACCTTCTCAATGGGGGCAACTAGGGACAGGGAACAAATGCTGGTTCCTGTGGTGTACATGTCCATACATCCTTGAAAGCAGAAAGACAGGAAAATAAAGTGGATAAGGCGGCATGTGGGATCCTAGACTTTATTAGTCAAAATACTGAATACAGGAGCAAGGAAGTTATGACAGATCTGCACAAGAAGTTAGGCCATAGCTGCAGTACCATGTGCAGTTCTGGTCTCCACATTATAGGAAGGATGTGAATGCACCAGAGAAGGTGCAGAGGAGATTCACCAAGATGCTGCAGTAATTCAGCTATTTAGGAGAATCTCAATAGGCTGGAGCTATTTAACTGGGACCAGACAAGGCTGAGGGGTGAACCCAACTGAGGTGGACAACGCACAAGGGTCATTGATAGGGTAGATACCTTTTCCCTTAGATGAGCCAATAACCAGGGGACACAGTTGTAAGCTCAGCAGCAGATGGTTTAGAGGTGTAAATACCATAAACAGGTCCATACCATCCGCGGCTGTGAGCAGCAAGCAGACACACACAAGCTGGATAAATTTTCACCCAATACCAGCTCACTGTGAGATTTTTGTTAAGGTCTGTCCTCTCAGTGTGGAACTGAGACTGTGATAACATAGCGGGCTGGTTAACCATAGAAGGCTTCACAGTCAAACCCAACTCAACAGTTGCCCATTCTCAGCCAATTGTAGACAGCAGCCACTTCCCACCACGGCTTCATACGAATCAGAATGAGGGCTCCCCAAAACCAATATCTCCACAGCTCATAACCCAAATCCCTGGTTCCTGTCTATTCTCTCCTCCACTCCCATACTCTCCACTCGCCAACATCCCAACTCCCCACACTCCACTCTCCAACTTCCCTGCACCACCTCTGCCTACTTCCCCCATTGCCCACTCCCTCACTCTCCACGACCCCGCTCCCCCAACTCCCACTCCCTGACACCCCAGTCCACAAATACCCCCACTCGCCAATCCGCCACACCCCCACATCCCCCCCCATCACACACCACGCCCCCACTCGCCAATCCGCCACACCCCCACATCCCCCCTCCATCACACACCACGCCCCCACTCGCCAATCCGCCACTCCCACACTCCACTGACACTGCCATCCTCCAGCCCAGCAATCCACTATTCTCCACACCCTGACACCCCAGACCCCCAAAACCCCGACGCCTCCCTCCCTAACTACCCCACTCTCCCCCAGTGCTTCACTGAACCTCCGACAGTGCGGCACTCCCTCAGCACTGACCCTCCGACAGTGCGGCATTCCCTCAGCGCTGACCCTCCGACAGTGCGGCGTTCCCTCAGCACTGACCCTTCGACAGTGCAGCGCTCCCTCAGCACTGACCCTCCGACAGTGCAGAGCTCCCTCAGTACTGGTCCTCCAACAGTGCGGCACTCCCTCAGCGCTGACCCTCCGACAGTGCGGCGCTCCCTCAGCGCTGACCCTCCGACAGTGCGGCGCCCCCTCAGCGCTGACCCTCCGACAGTGCGGCACTCCCTCAGCGCTGACCCTCCGACAGTGCGGCGTTCCCTCAGCGCTGA